AGCAGGAATAAGTTTGGAATTCCAGCTGCAGGATTGCAGCAACAAAGACTTTATTACACTTCTATAATTAAAAAGTTGTATCACATTTCAGTTACATTTATCTAAATAAATGAACCGAGTATGTTATATAATGCAGTTGCCGGTTTCCTTGTTTTCTATGTAATTGGAAATTCTTCTATCTGTCCAGTGATGGCTCATTTATTTGTGGCTACAGTTTTTTCTGTACTAGCCCATTGGAGCATGGGTGGATGGAAGTGTATATTTCAGCAGCTTTAGGAAAAATGCTATGAACAACTAGCAGCAGTTGCTGAAACAGTGGATTTGGTTTGGCTGCTTGCAGAAACAGCCTATGAACAATCAAGGACTGACGTGCGTGTCGTGATGTTTAAACACTTTAAACTGCAATAGAGTTGGAATGGTAACGCCATGCAGTTTATGCACTTGCATTGTACACGTATATTTGTGTTGAAAGTGGTTTCAAAAATTGTTTCAAGAAGCAAAGATGGCAGTGTTTTGCTAGTGATCTCTGAACTGCTGTTAAAATGATGTTAGAACCTTTTTTAAAGGACTAAGACAAGAAGGAAATTCCCTTGGAATCTGCTCAACAAAGTTTGGGTAATTGTATATTGTATAATGGGGTGAAATACTTAATCTTTTGCCTGTAACTAAAGAAGAGTGTTACCAGTGGTAATGCCAATTTGGCAGAAAAGTGGAAACTTCTATTCCAAAAGGTGAAATTCTCCTGCAGGGCAGCACTTGATTTCATACAGTGAAGTGGACATTGAGTAGGAAGCGATAGTTGCTACAGGGCTATTGTATTTTGAACGGAAAACAGACTTGTGGATTTGTCTTTCATCTTACACTGCTTTTATCCTCTCTTGTGGAAACGTGTTGCTTACTAATTTGCATCCAAATAATTTCCTTGGCTGGGGGGGTGGGGTGAAGATTCTTTCCTGGGTGAAAACTATTGAATTTACCTTTAGACCCTTAAATGTCCTGATAAACATCTAGATGTTCAAGAGCTCAGCTCACATCTGCAGCTTAATAGGAATGTTCGGGTGCTGAGCATCTGGTCTGGTTAACTCATTTTAATGGCCTAAATGAGGGCTTGACCACCCATACTGGCACCTTGGCTATTATGTCCACCTAGTAATAGGTATGAATTCATTGCTCGCACTGATTTTTAGATACCTCAATTTTATGCAAGTGGGACTGCACGCAGTTTGTAAATTCTACATATTTTCAGAATTTTGTTTTCAGGATAGGCTTTACTCTAAAAACTTAATAACAAATGAGGCCATTTGCACACACAAAAAAAAAAAAAAAAAAGATGCAAGATGTGTTTCATAGTACCTGACAAGTATGAACGCTCTACCGTGATGTAGATGATGTGTAAGTCTCACTGATTTAACATTTTTCTAGCTTGGTGATGTTTATTCCTTTTGAAAATACATTGATAATCTTTTGATTGTTAAAGTGATTGACCCTGTTTATCTGAAACTCAGGCTTTTTCAACTCCGTATAAAAATTGACCTTGCAGATGAAGTGCCAGCAGTTGGCATTGGACTGATTAATGGAGTTTGTGACAGTTATCAGTATTAGACAGTAAACATGCAAGGTAGGGGATGGGCTGCTAATTTGTCCTTTGCCGAAAGGCGCCGTAGAAATATAGGGTAGTGACGGACTAAGCAAAATTCTCATACGGTGTTTTCAGTACTGTGGCAACCAGAAGTTGGAAGTATCTGCATCTGAATTTGGTCATCTGATACCCAGTTGACTGTGGGAGCTTCACGTGTTTTTAGTGTGACTAATGTTTTGATGTATCAGCATTGGACTAGATGATCTTGTTGAGGTCCCTTCCAACCTTAATTTTTCAATTCTTCTGCAGATTTTGTAGAAATGCAGATTTTGTTTGTATAAATGTTGACATAGAAGGCAAGAAAGGAAGAAAAAGAACGCAAAGGGAGAGCAGTGCAAAGGCCTATACAGAGTTTGTATAGCCTGCAGTAGCAGGGGACTATAAATGAAAAAATGGTTGAAAATGTGTAAAAGAAAAAGGGAAAGGGTAGCTATTATTAAAAAAAAAAAAAAAAAAAAGGCACAACCCCCCCCCCATGAAACTGCATCAAGAAGAGAAAATTTGGTATCATTTAACCAGAAGGAAAATGTCCTGAAAAGACCTTAATTAATGTAAAGCCTGAGGAGGGTCAATTGATAAAGGCATTGGAATTTCAGAGAACTTTAAATCCATCAGTGGGAATTGATCTAATAGCCAGTGTCGCACACTGTCCTGTGGAAGTAGCCCATCAATTAAAAATGGCTTTTCTCAACCTAGCAGTTGAATAATACGGGATTCATCTGACAGCACAATCAGTTATTTACGTTTCCTAATTGTAATTCTGAGAATTAAATACTGTAAGAAACATGATCAATAAATACTTTTTTAAAGGGACTCTAATGATTGAATCAGAGGCAGAAAAGTGAAAAGTAACTGCTTTGAGTAGAACTAGCCCTGAATTTGTCCAGTGAGAGATAGTAATACTTCATGCAAAATGTGATCCTTTATTCTAAGGCATGTAGTCAGCGTGGCCAAAGGTGCAAATAATCTGTAACTGCATTTAAAAAAAATAAATAAAATTCTGTGGCAGTGGCTGGAAATGCCAAGTTGTGCGTTCTGCACAGTTTGTGAGAACATTTCTTTCTCCAGGTGGTAGTAACAACTTGTCTTCCAGCTACCTCTGCTGCACGCAGATTGCAGGTCATGTCATCCAGTACTGGTGCAGAAGTTTGATGCCTGACCTGTGTAATGAAATAGCTACAGCTCATTGCTGTGGAAAAGCAAACAGTATCATCCTTATCTTGGGTACTTTCTTCCTAGGGAGGGTGATAGGATCACGCGGGTTTATCTGTGTTGGGTGTTTGTAGTCTCTGTGTGTCAGTGCTGGTTGGAGGTGCCGCTTGGCCGTGCTGATGGGCAGAGGCAGAGCTGTGCTGCATCCCACGCCTTGCCAGCCCTTCTGCCAGCCTGGCTGCAGCTCCTGTTGTGCTGTGACTGCAGTTACGATACCCTAACCCGATCCTGTACTGCCAAGGACATTTGCTCCCTACATGTCCTCTTTAAATTCCTTTTACAATACGGTGATACAGCCCTGTTATAGTTGTAGAAACAGCCATTTGTCAGTCATTCATGTATCGATTTTTTAATATTTTTTTAACAACTGGGATAGTCATAGTTTAAGACCTAGATTTATTACTTCAGTGTGTGCTCCTGTATTCAGAAAAGAAAGGAAGGAGTAAATTGCAGAGAGCCTGAGTTTCACTTATCGTCTGACAGTACTTGTCTGTTACACCAGCTGATAGAAATTGAGTTGGTCTACCTGACAGGATTTATCTTAGTAGCAACTCCTTACGTGACAAAACCTTTTTTTTTTTTTTTTTTTTTTTTTTCCTGCA